TTGGTGTTCCATTGTAAGTGTCAAATGTCTCTGTATCCTACTGGCTTCATGTGGGCACCTCATCTTCCTCTAATTCAAGTAAGGAGAGGCTATTTTAAATGAGGAGAACAAGTTACTAATGTATTTGTTAAAGCAAATGGCAGGGATTAGTGTGGTCTTTACCTAGTTAATGAAAAACAGTGAAAAATAAAAGAAGGCAGAGAACAAAAACCCTAAAAACATTCAACTCTGTCCTACACTTCAACAAGAAGGACTTTATGTATTAAAGTTTGCTTTTAAAAAATTGAGAAATTGTATTAAAATGCATTTGCTACCAAAGTAAAAATATTAAGTACTAAAAATTCAAGAAATGCCAGAAGGCATAGGTCTTGTCAGATGTTTATGTGACAAACTTCTATACATTGTTCTGTTATACAGTGCACTTGCTAAGTTAATATTATTGTTGGATATTGTGAACAGTTTCTTCTCTAGAACTAAAATGGAAAATGGAAGTGACTGCAGAGACCAATAGTTTTGTGATGCCAAAAGCATCAAATATTCAGCAGATTGTAGAGAATGACCAATAAAGGGTTTGGCTAGAAATGTCACTGAAATCAAGGTGACCCAGTCCCCATTCCACAGAAGTGGAAACAAGGAAACAAGAGAACAGAAAACACTGTCTCTTTAAAACACTAGATTCTAACCCAAAGAGATTACAGGTTGCACAAGTTACCAGTTTTACATCAGCACAACAAAGATGCAGAAAGTGCCTCTATGGACAGATGTACTCTGGTCAAGTGATGTTTTGTGATACTGCATACTGCCCAGTGCCTAAGCCAGCATGCTGTGTGTGAGAGGAGTCCAGAAGACATCATTATGTGTTCCTGGCTTAGTCACTGACTTATGGCTTAGGCATGTTTGAAGCTTCAGTCAAATTGGGCAGAACAGTGGTACTGCTGGAAGGGAAGATTTCATCCCTTGAAATCTCCTGGGAAGAACCTGGCAGCAACATTTAACATCACTATATGAAATGCATTCCCCCTATGTGTTCGACCATTAACCCATTATTTGCTATGGGGCTAAATTAGGGCATTAATTCAACTAAACATTAGTTGTCTGTACACAGGAAAGAGACAATTACTTCTAGTCTATATTTATCAGTACTTTAAGGCCCACACAGATGTCATTGCCTCTTGGAGTCTCTGCCCCATTGCACTCATGCTGACACACAAAAAGGTGGTCCTAAAAGGCAGTAAGGGAGCCCTTAGGTTAAGCAACTGAGGTTTCTGTGACTGACCATTCTAGCCAGAGAGAGAAGAGGTAGCATTTCCGATCTGATGAAGGAGGCCTGTGAGGGTCTGTCCTGCCACACACGTTCTGGAAGTGTCCCAGCAGCTGGGATCTGGAGCCAACTCAGCTGCTCAGTGGGGATCCAGGTGGTATAAATATCTGATCTGAGTTGCCTGAGCTTTTGAACAGGTTGTGCTCCTAACAAAGGAAGAAAATAGTCTGTATTTGCCAGAGACCACAACTCCAAAAAAGAGCACTTGCAGGCCATTTATTGCAGCACATCCTAGTAGGCAATTACAGCTGTGGTGGCTTCCTGTGAGGTCTGAGACTGGGAGACTGAAGGGATTCCCCAGCACAGGGAGAGGAAGGCAGGCAGGAGGCCCTGCCCTGGAGGTCTGCACTGACAGCATGCAAAGGGAGTACAGATGCTGCCAAACTGTCAGCATTGAAATAACTCTGGAATTGCCTGCCAGTTAGAAAACTTGCTCTCATTCACAAATGAAATCCATGTAATTAATGTAAAGGTACTAAAGTCTATCTCACAGAACACCATTGTTTTTATTATAGCTCGTAAAAACCTCAAATAGTTATACAAAGTAGTAACTACGAAGTCTGCATGCATCATATCAACACCCCTGGGAGAACTGACACAGTAGCATATTTAGATGTCCTTGCTCTTTGTGTTCTGGGATTTTTGTTTCTGTTTTCGCAATTCAAATGGTTTACATGTTATTCATCTACATTCGCTGAAAAGGTCTGTGAACCTTTCAAGGAGCCTTGTCTGAGTTTGGAGTTTGTAACCAGGCAAGTTTCATGTGGTTTTGAATTTCATTGTGAACATTTCAACTAGATGTAGAAATAAGCTCAAAATAATGTTCACATAGTTTGCAAGTCTGGTAATTTCCCATTCCAAAGGATCAGGACTATTTGGTGGAATTTGAAACAAGGAGTGGAATTCATCCCTGTACACGAGCTGAACAAGGCCTTCACTTTGGCCCAATTCAGACCTCAAAATAAGGACTTCATACGTATGTAGGACTTATGCTGACCTTTTGCACAGAGGTGAATATCGACCTGTACAAACATACACTGCGTGGCTACTGTTTCAACTCAGGCTATTTCAATGTGGCATTAAAAGCTTGAAAAGAAGAAAAACATAGGTATTAAAGATGAAAATACTAAGATTTATGCAATACTAAGGTTGATAAATATATTCTTCACTGATGAGAAAATTTCAGAAGTGGTGGTGCTCATCTAATAACGCGTTATGGTAGTTGCTGTTGTTTTCCTACAGCTACAAGCCATGGAGATCTGACTGTGCAAGTAACTCATCTTTCGCTTGAGAGCACATAGTGTCATGGTCTTGGAAAGAAATGGGAAAAGGAATCCAGATGTATAGAACAGCAAAGACAAAAAGGAGTAATTTTTTATGTATAAAGATACGATTTTTAGACAAACCATTGCCTTAGGACTGTGACTTCTTACTTTCAGTGCTTGGTGCTGACAACACTGGCAGAGGCAATAAGCTGTGTTGCAGATTTCAGCATCAGAGACAACCAAGTGTAACATGCATAGTTTGGTCAAATTATCGAACACCAGAGGCTATTGGTGTGTTACCTGTACTTGGAACAGTTGTCTGCTTGAGTTGATGCCAACGCTGCCACTCAATACATGTGAGCTCTTACAGAAGGGGCAGTGGGTGGCTATTTGTACAGGTAACAGCCTGATCCAGGCTAATGGGCCCATTGCTCATACCCACCGAATGCTGAGTGACAGGAAAAGGTGTCAGGAGAGCACACTGCAGACTGGGCCACAGAGGATGTTGTGGCAGTTTCTCGTCTGCTGGCTGCTCTGGGCAGCTGTCTAAAAGCCATTTCTACAGACTTCTGTTGCTATAGCTATGTTGTGAGTTCTAAAAATAGCTCTCTGTATCCCAATATTCAGATAAACTGTGTTTTCATGTGTATGTTTTTAGTTGAGACATATTGGGAATCAAAAGCAGTTTTGCCAGTGTAAGCTGTATCTGCTCTAGAACCAGCTCACTGCTTCAGGACAACTTATTAATTCACTAGCAGTGCTCTTCTTGTCTACCTGCCCTAGCTTTATCCATGCCTGTCCAAGGAACACTTTCAATATCCTTAATCAGAAGAGGTTTGTCTAGACATTCTGCTCTGTCCCTTTATTTCCAATCCCTAGGTACAGCTTTGTCACCTGGGGCCTCAGGCCTCCCAAGAGTCTGCAGCTGGTGACAATAATTTTGGATTGACTGAATCACTTCACGGACCACATTAATCAGACAGGATTCTTTCCTCTTCCATTACCTGCTAGGTTAGGGACTGGCTGACAGCTCACAGCAGCTTCTGCTGGCAACTTCTTCTGAGTTTTATTTAGGTCTGCTGTATTACTAAGAAAGAAAACAGCCAGGAAAACAGCCCATTCCCACTCCTCCAGATGCTAATCCCTTGGAACTGGTCTCCTCTGCCTCCTCCAGAGCCCATATTCCCACTGCATCTTCCTTTTTTACTAAGAAAATGTAATCTGTCTCTTCCACATCCAGGACAGACAAATAACCCTTCCAAACCATCCTTAACTCCTCAGCGGGACCAGGAAGAGAGGAAGTGAAACGGCTCCTGGAGGACCCTGAGCCAGAGCCCAGGAACAGCATCCGGACAGCGTGGCTTCTTCCCCATTAGAAGAGAAGGTAAAAACAGCTCGAACAGTCCTGTCAGGTCTAAAACCGGGCACCCGCCCGTGGGAAGCCCTCACCCCGCTCCCCAGGGCCGCGGTACCGGGGGTGGGCGCGCAGCGTGCGCAGGGGCGGTGCGGGGCCCGTGAGCGGCGGGCACGGCGGGTCTCCCACGCCGGAGAGACGGAGAAAGACTCGTTTGCAAGAGACAGCGTAACCGGTGTATGAGAGGGGGGGCCCAATTTGTGCTGTGTGGCCACTTCATGCCTTCCCCGCCAGCATGAAGAGGCTGTAAACCCCGTCTAACAGCCCCCCGGGGAATCCCGCTCATGC